TGCAAAAGATTTCAGTTGGGGAAGGGGAAATCAGTGTTCTTTAAGAGAGTGGCATTGCTTACATCAACCACACTGAAGGACAGGCTCTATGCTCAGGAATAATTGTTCAGCACTAATTGGGTTCTGTTTTTGGATACTTTTTTAAGTAAAAGAACTTGAAGTGGTATAGATACGGATGAAGGGAGGATATGGAAGGAATTGGGGTTTAGGAAATAATATAAAATATATTGTTTAAAATTCTCCATGAATAAGTTATCAAAAGATCAAAACATAACCAAAATTATATTTAGTTTTTCTTATAAAATATCACATAAAAGCATATAATAATCAAAGGGGGAAAAGGAGACATGTACTTGCTATTTATCTTTATTATGCAGTAGCTTAATTTTTTTTGCTTATTTATTTAAATTTAGGTTAATCTTATTTGTTTAGCATGACCAAAAAAAGCCTACTACTTTGATAGGTTTTAAGCAAGAAGACTCATCAAATTATGCATTATACCTAAATATAATGAAAATTAGACAATGTCATAATTAGCTTTCTAAACCTTAAGGAAGGTCAAATGGGCACTGGAGACTAAAAAAAAAAAAAAAAAAAATCACCCTTTAGCCGTGATTAACTTTGTTCTAAACCCATCCCTGACTCCTTATGCATAGAAATTACAACAGGGAAGTTTTTGTGACAATTAAATATGAAGAGGGACATTCATCTCCAGTGTGATCATCCGATACCTAACAACTGCTTAAGGAATGGTAAAACATAGTCTGTAAATCTTGCTTCATAAATGAAAACTCCTACAATCAGTCATAGAAACCCAGTCATTGATAATCCAATAAGATATCCAATATGACAAAGGGGAGGGAGAAGATACAGGCTTGGATACACATTAAAAATTGCAAACTGCCTGCAGTCCGGATGAAAGTAACTGAAACCATATGTTCCCCAGATGCATAATCATCAGATATTATGGAGGACACATTATTGTAATTCACTGTGCTGTTCATGGTCTTAAAGAATTAAGAGCACATTCATAAAGTCCAAATTTGTCTCCAAGGAGCTGGGGACTTTCTGGATCAAGAGGCAATTTCGTTAGGTCAAAGTAGAAGCAGTTTGTCTTTGAGCATGTTTCCCTGACAGAGTGGATGTAACAGAAGTTATTATCAGAGCAACCTTCTTCCCAAACAATTCATAGAGTCCCCAGGATAATTTTGAATTTGAGAGTGTTAAGTGTATTGTATTAGGGCTAAAATATTAATTTCCTTGTAATCTTATCTTTCTTATCATTTTCTTCACTTACATACTTATAGTCCTTGTAATATTCACTTCATATAATTTTCATTGTACATTTATTTGAGCATTCTTTCCTTTCTATAATCATTATGACTGTATTCACATTTACATAATAAACTTTGCTTCAATAATACATTTATTCATTTTATGTTTATATTTCAAATACACTAGCTCCTTACATATTTGTGATCTTTTATTATTATCTTTTTATTATTAGCTTAATCATTACATAAAATAATGGCTTTGCTTATTACATTCTCATATATATACATATGTACATATATGTACAATAAATATCAAGGTATATGTACACATATATATGTATATGTATGACACACACCTTGATATTTATTGTATGTATATTTCTGTTGAGTGGGCTTCCTTTGTTATTTAATTTTTTCTGTTCACAGTCATTGGTTAAAAACGGTTTATTTATAGAGAATAACTAAATGTCTGCATCTATCTGATGTGTTACAGAAGTAGCTATATTGTCAATTGAGTATGCAACATGCCATTGAGTCTTGGACAAGAAGATTTAACATTGCAATAAAATAAAATAAAAGGAATTATGTGGCGAAATTAAGTAGAGAAAAATTATGTCTTTAGATTATTAAAATAATGAGCTTTTCCGAACTGGCGTTATGGATCTTGGAGCTTAGTTGAAGCAGTCCAGGGCAACAAGGAAGAGCTTCGCTCGGAATACCTTAGAGCTATTACTTAAGTTTATGTGTGCTGTGAAAAACACATATAACAGTTGCCACAAATCCAACCACCTTCCAGTAATCTCTATTTGATATGTATAAGTGAGATTTTGAAGTGGCCCATCTGTAAATCATTGCACATATCTTAACATTTAATTCATAATGTGTTTGATATCTCTTTTTGCTAATTTAAAAATAGAAAATTATGATTGTATATTCAAAGAATATGTACCAACACAGAATGTCACATGCTTTTGAGATTTAATAAACACTTTTCTGCTATATCTATCTACATTCTCCAGCCATCTATATTTATATGATAAATGATTGATTGATAGATAGATAGATGATAGATAGATAGATAGATAGATAGATAGATAGATAGAAAGAAAGAAAGAAAGAAAGAAAGATAGATAAATAGATGATAGATAGGAATAATTGAGATGTACAACAAAAACAAATTTTGGTGGTGGTACCTAAAGCTATACTTTGACAAATTTATTCTCATGTATATTATTATATTATATCATACTATAAAAAATTATGTGTTACCCCAATATAGCAAAATCCAGGACCACTTTATTTCTAACTTCCCTACATTTCTCCAAATTTCCCATAATAGTTTTTTCTTCATATCCTAGCTACAAAATGTTTAGGTAAGGGCTTTATTTGTAAGGACAAATTATTTATTCCACTAAGCATAGTGAAAGATTTAACTATTTATCTTATGATATAGAATTTTTCTAATAATATAGGTGTGTGTGTGTGTGTGTGTGTGTGTGTGTGTGTGTGTGTGTGTGTGTGTGTCCTATGGACATTGTTTTGGTTTAAAAATAGAGTCAATGATTTTTCTAATTTCATGCTGATATTTCTACTTCACACAATGTCTGCTAAACAGCCTTGCCACTTAAAAACCTTTTTTCTTGAAGTACATCATACTATTATATTTTTCTCCATCTAGAATATAAAACTCTGTTTTCTGGGATTACTTTCTAATAAGACATTTTTCTTTCTGACTGTTTTTCTAAATCTCTTGTAGTCATAACACTGCATTAGAAAATGCATCTCTTTATCAGAAAACACCGAAGACATGCAGCCCTCACTGTGCACATTAACACTAGAAATTTACATGTTCTATCTTCAGCTGGCTTCTCAGGTGACTGAGAGAATGCATTCTGGAATATATGATAAGTCATATACACAGGATAAGACACTTTTATAGTAAATCCATGCAACTTTTCCTTAACTAATAATGTTCTTCTAACCTTATTCAGTGAGCACAATCCTCATTGCATAGTTAGGACTTTGAAGGGAAAGCAAAAATCCTCCTATAAGACGCATCAGGGTTAGGAAATAAAACCATGTCTTATACTTACAGTTCAAGTTGTAATCTGTTTTGAGAGCATTAACCGTACCTTCAAAATATGATAGATACTAGGAGTTACTTTAAATTGTTATTGTACCTTAGCTGTAGTGATGTAATATTCAAGACATAATTTAAAATTTCCTTTATGGAGCTAAGGAGATGTCTCAATTTTTAAAGTACTTGATACTGCCAAGCAAGCATGAGGCACCGAGTTCAGATCCCCTGAAGCCCCATAATCCAGATGCTGTGGGATGTTCTGTATGGCAATGTGTTGCTCTGATTGGTTGGTAAGTAAAACACTGATTGGCCATTGGCCAGGCAGGAAGTATAGGCGGGACAAGGAGGAGAATAAAGCTGGGAAGTGAAAGGCTGAGTCAGAGAGACTCTGCCAGCCGCAACGATGAGAAACAGCATGTGAAGATGCCAGTAAGCCACGAGCTACATGGCAAGGTATAGATTAATGGAGATGGATTAATTTAAGCTGTAAGAACAGTTAACAAGAAGCCTGCCACGGCCATACAGTTTGTAACCAATATAAGTCTCTGTGTTTACTTGGTCGGGTCTGAGTGGCTGTGGAACTGGCGGGTGAGAGAGTTTGTCCTGACTGTGGGCCAGACAGGAAAACTTTAGCAACATCCAGGTGCTGTGGAGGGACAGTGAGGAGATTGACAGCAGGCCACCTAGTCTAGCTGACTAGTGATATCTTCTCTCAAAATATGGTAAAGAGTGCCTGAAGAACACATTCCATGTTTACCTCTGTCCTCCACATGCTCACACATGTATGTACATAAACATACACATAGGAACATTTACATACACACTAAATAAACTTTCTTTAAAGGTATAATATATTATTTACCAAATGTTATTGTATGCAAAATAGGACTTTGCAAATTTAAGCTGTTAGTAAAATGTTATGACAAATTTAATTTCTTTTTTTTATTAATTATTTTGAGTCAGGGTTTCTAGTAGAGCTGGATAGACTTAAACTCAAAATGTATGCAATGCTGGCCTTGAACTTATGATTCTCCTGTCTCCCATGCACAAGTGCTGGGATTATAGGTATGCATTGGCTATAACCAGCTCATATTTAAGTTCTTAATAATAATGATGTCATTGTACTTTAATAATTATTTTCTATCAATGACTTCATGATAGCATGATTATGATTTGAAAACACTGGAAACATTTAAAAGTGATTTCACATATTTCATTCTAGGTAATACATAAAGAATGAAAAGTACCTCCTTTTTTGGTTCATTTCTGGTTCCAATTCAATGCATACCTTAATTGTTTACTGTGAGCTAAGAATTACTAATGGTTTTCAGTGAAATTCAGTAGTTACCCTCATCACTGAATAGTGTCAATGGCAATCAAGTCATGTCTGAATGAACTACACATTTAAATATAAGTAGATATTATGAATCAAATAAATCAATTCATTAGGAAATAGTTAAGAATGGTACATATTCTATTCATATGTATTTATATTGGTGAGGGAATAATGAAAGTTCTTAGAGTAAATTAAATTTTTTACATATAAACAATAATGACTTCTTATAAGTAGGATATCTACATCAGCATGTAGAGAAACTATTAAAGAGGGTTCATAGCATTGATATAAATTTGGTTTGTCCACTCACCCACAGGAGACATTTCTGGAACACTAGCAACATAAGGTCCATCCAGAAACTTTGGTTCATTATCATTAATATCCTGCACTTTAATGATGAACTCGGATTCAGGCTCCAAGGGCTTCCTTGTTTCTATGTCCACTGCCTGAGCACGGAGTGTGTAGAAGGGCTTCTCTTCTCTGTCCAGACTTCTTATTGCATGGATGTCTCCTGTAGTTTCATCAATTGTAAACACAGTGCCAGCACCATCTCCAGAGAGCGTGTATTTAACAGTGCCCTCTCCTTTGTCCAAGTCAGAATGCAGCTGAGAAAGAGACACAGAGAGACACAGAGCTAATTACATGCAGTACAATTTATTTCATCAGATAAGTTAAATTACTACTTCATTGATTTTCATGTTATAACTACAACTTCTTGATTATAGAAACTAAAGTTGTGGATGGTGAGATAACTCAGAAGGTCCAGAGCTTGTTTTGTAACAAGAGGACCTGAGTTCAACCTCTAGAACCTATGGGATGCCATACATAGTACACAGCATTGTTTGTAATCTTAGCATTGCTACTGAAAGATGGGAGGCAGAAATAGGAGAATCCCTAAAAGTGTAGAGGCAAACTGTAATTGTGTAGAAGACAGTGAAGGAGAGTCACTGTGACAAATGCGATGGAAGATGCAGTGAATACTCAAAGTTGTCCTCTAAGCTCTACCAACCCATGGCACCCACTCAACTCCATGTGCACACATACACGAACTGATTCTAAGAGAATGAAATAAAAATTAAAATGCACAATTTTTTTTTTTTTTAACGCACGAGGTACATGTGTACTATATTGACTGATAGTCTTAACGTTTGGAATTCTTCAGATATATTGCTTAATCGATCCTCTATTCATGATAAATGATAGATACTAGGAATTTACAGTCCCTAGTAAACCAACAGGACTAAAACAATTTATTTTGACAGTTTTCTTTAGTTATCATACATATTTTCAAGAATAACATAGTCATAGAGTGAAATGAGACACATCGTAAGTGTAGCTATTGTTTCATTTTAATGATCACTGTTTAAAGAAATATTAACTCAAAAATAACAAACTATGAGCTCCCAAAAGACAGGAAGGTAGGATCCAAGGGCTGATTCCAGCAAGATGTTAGGTAAAGTGAAATTATGGGAACATGTCCTAAAGGAAAGAGTGAATTCTTTCAGTGAGTGTTCAAATGAGTTGTCCAAGATTAGGTGGACAAGATAGGCTCTTAAATGTAAACTTGAATAATTAATCCAAATATCTATTCTCAAGTGAGCACTTGGCAGTGTTTTGACCACCATTTGAATAAAAATAGCATAATCTATAAGAAAATATGCTTTGCGGGCTAACACAGGTTAAGAGTGCTTGCTACTATTGCAGAGGACTCAAGTTCGATTCCTATCACCCACAACATGATGCTCACAACCACTTTTGAATCAAACAAAGATCAATTATTATGCTTTCAGAATAACAGATGATTTAGTTCTATCTTGTTCTGTGTAAGAAATATCCATTATTTATATACTGGAAATATTGTAATTCATTTAGCTTATTTTGATATTCAATACATGTTCATGTTATTAGATTATATCATGGAATTAGTTACAGTTTAATGCCAGCTGAGGAGAAACTCAAGAATATATGTGTCATTATGATACATTGAGTCACTATTGTTCAAAGTGAAGTCCAAGAATAATTGAGAGATGAACATAGCCTTGGCACTCTATAAGCCATTCCAGAACAAAGAAATATATTAAATATTGTATACATGAAATATTATGTTACATATAAGTTCATCAACCATACTATATATGAATGTAAATAAAATGTATTAAAATTTTAAATGTACTGTGTAATATTTTAATTTTAATTTTTATTTAAATGTTTGAGTGTGCGTATGTTCATTTGAGTGCATTATATATAGAGGCCAGAAGAGGGTATTTGGTCCCAGGAAGTTTGATTCAAAAGTGGTTGTGAGCATCATGTTATGGGTGATGGGAATTGAACTTGAGTCCTCTGCAATAGTAGCAAGCACTCTTAACCTGTGTTAGCCCGCAAAGCATATTTTCTTATAGATTATGCTATTTTTATTCAAATGGTGGTCAAAACACTGCCAAGTGCTCACTTGAGAATAGATATTTGGATTAATTATTCAAGTTTACATTTAAGAGCCTATTTTAATCAGAACATCACTTGAAGGAAGCATGCTATACTTTGATAGTGACTGTAATTATTTTTGTCTTGACCTTAAAATTTATATGCAGGCAATGTTCTGCTAGAAGATATTTTGTTATCATGACTTTTGGTTTTATTAATGTTTCAACAGGAAAGATAGCTTTTAAATTATTTTCAAGTGATTTCTTATCCTTTTATACTTAGATTTCTATGAATTGGCATTAAAATATATGACTGAAAAATTCAATTAAAAGTGTAATCTCTAGCCGGGCAGTGGTGGCGCACGCCTTTAATCCCAGCACTCGGGAGGCAGAGCCAGGCGGATCTCTGTGAGTTCGAGGCCAGCCTGGGCTACCAAGTGAGTTCCAGGACAGGCGCAAAGCTACACAGAGAAACCTTGTCTCGAAAAACCAAAAAAAAAAAAAAAAAAAGTGTAATCTCTGGTTATACCTTTAAATGACAACTTAAACATTTTGGTTTAGTTTCAGTATAATAACATCACTCAAAATATTATTAAGATGAATTCATTCATGTTATAAATTTGTATTTATATCTAAATTTGCTCTGAAGTATATTTGCTATAGAATATAATCATAGGAATTTAAGAATGATTGAGAGAAATATTTAAAGAAATAAGAAAATGGCAGACTCTATGATTTGGATTATCCTTTAAAAAGTTTCATGCATTTTATTTCAGCATAAGGGATATTGCTGGGAATGATGGGATGAAGGGTTTTTTTTTCCATCCTATTTTTTAAAACTGCTGTAAAGCACGGGGAATTTGAAGCGTAAAATCAAGCTGTAGAAAAATGTTCTTTGAACTTATGAATTTCAAATCACAATTGTCAACCACACTATTAAAGACATTCAATGCAGTGGGTATTACTTTCACTTTCAAATTTATGTTAAGGTATAAGACAGGCAAAGGCTCCATGCAATAGGGATGATTTTAGGAGCAGTAACCAGTTTGCAATGGCTTAGAGAATACGTGCAGATATTTTGGGAACTGAGTGAAAATCTTAATTGGGTTTTCACAGTGTGATTCAAGTAAAGTTACCAAAAAAAAAATCCATATCATTTGATTAAAGTCAAAACTGTTTTCTTTTCAAACTGACTTAAAAATATAAAAGCAGATGTGCTGTCAGTCCTCTCTAAAATCCAAGTGAAATCCAATTGCTGCTGTTCCCTCCTCTAACTTCTATGGTTAACCTTGTAATTTAAAAAAGCTAGTCTTACAGAGGTTGAAAAGTCAGAAGCAATACGTTAAAAAAAATGCTAAAACTGTTGGCTACAATAAATTGATAAACGCACATCTCATTTTAGTGGTGAATGACACCATGGTGTCTTTTGATAATATTTGTTTTTATTTTAGGTATAGGAGTGTTTTGTCTGCTTATGTGTATGTGCATCCCATGTGCTCCTAGTTTCCAGGGATGCCAGAAGAGGATGCCAGTCTCCTGGAACTGGAGTTACAGACAGAGAGTTGAGAGTCATTAAGTGGGCTCTAGAGACTAAAGTCAGGTCCTCTGCAAGAACACCAAGTGTTGTGTAACACTGAGTTATCTCTCCAGTCTCTGCACAACCAAAATATAGAAAGGTATCACAGACACTCACAGCTGCTTAAGCAAGAGTTACCACAACTGATTCAGTGCTGATTGATGGAGGTGTCTGGGTGACCGGAACCAGATATAGGGTTGACCCAGTATCAAATTATCCAGGATCTAATTGACCTACATGTATGCAAACTAGTGACAATGAACTTGGTATTGAGTATTGTAAAATCTCATTTAGTGAAAATGTAATACAGTTTTACTGTGAAATTGTACAAGATCAGATAAATCCTGTCCTTTTACCTGACAACAATTTCTTTAAACATATCTTTTTTTTTTTGTTTTGTTTTTTTAAGACATATTCTCACTGTGTTGTCCTGGCTGGCCTAGAACTACCTATGTAGACCAGGATAGCCTCAAAGTCACCAAGACCCATCTATATCCACAACCCAAGAGCTGAGATGAAAGAAGTTCATCATATGTAACTTAACTCTTTATGTTTTGATTATATAGGCATATAAATTTAGGAAATAAAAATGGTAAAACAAATATATATATTGCTCTGCAATTGTAATCATATAATTATATCTCTATGTACTTATATTTGATTAAAAAATTAGTAGCTATTTTCCAATTACTAAACCCATATTCTATCTCCATATTGTCTGAGGTTTTAAAAATTATCCTTTTAGATTTCAGCATTATATTCATATATTGAAATAGACTTAGTCAAAGGACAGTGCCAGTTTTCTCATAAGTGATATGTTGAATGTGTGTGCGAGGGAGTACTCATTTGTGTGTTTTCTTCTGTTTATTTCCTTAAAATAAAATGTAACTGTGAGGATGGAAAATGTGGCATTTTTATGAATCTTAAGAAATGTTGAAACTCCAGTGTTTCCAGCAATTGATCTCAATACATAAAATTGCTTTCTCCAGTTTTTTGGTGGTGATGGATTTTAGCCTCTGTTTATGCCATGTAGCTAATTTTATGTCTTATTTCCAAAAGAACTGAGAATGTCATTCCTCATCTTTGGATAGTGTTGATTGTTAAAAATATAATACTACATCATTTTCTGTAGTTCTCTAAAGCTTCACACCAAAAAAAATACTAATTATATAAAAATAACAGCTATATTTGTGTCTTCTCCCAAGCATTAAAAAGGTTTTTCTGAGTAGGTGCTACATTTGCTGACTGAAGCCGCCAACTCCAATAAGATCATCCTTTAGTATTGACACTTAAAATAAAATTCTCCCCCTAGAAAGAGTCCCATAAATGATGGATGTAGAAATAGGCACTGTCCAGATAGTTTTTTGGTGTGTGTGTGTGTGGAAGTGATGGTGTTATTTTCTATGTGTTTCAAGTCATCTCAGATGGTGCGTGAAAATGAGATGCCGAGAGAAGCTTTAAAAAGCTGCTGAGGCCTAGCTTCAGCACAGAAACAAATCTTGAATTTCAGTTCTTAAAAGTTGGAGGAAGCTAATCTAAAGTTAAATGTTTCCTAGCCACTCTCCAAATGGGGTTTGGAACTGCTGCATTAAAAGGCAGTATGTTCATA